TGATGTACAAAATTAGTAAGTAAGGTTACGCAGAATTCACAGAGAATTTGCATTTTTGGGGACTGAAGTGTAACTTGTATGGCATTACTTACACCATATATCTGCAAACATCTTAGCCAGTAAAAGTAATTACTACTCAACCTCTGACCTTGACTCTGATTTTCATTGATCATGACTGAGTGTGTTAACATGTAACCCTGTATTCTGGTTGTGTTTAGGTTTTTTAAAGTAAGTTATGTGTTTCTCCTGGTTTCAGACACTGGGTCCTGGCCTGGCCATGATTTTGTCTGCCATGATTGTGTGCAAGTGTGTTTTACACACTGAAATGAAATAGTAATGCAGACCACATTTTGTCTGTTGAACAGGTAGAAAAGTTCAGCAGAGAGTGTGCGGCAGTATCCTCAAGTGAAACCACTCTCAAGGGTTTTTATACTTATTCTTCAAATCAAAAAATGTAATTATCATTTAATAATCAATAATGAATTAATAATTGAAACAATTGATTAGAAAATATCCATATGTTTGGAAGATTGTTGTGAGGCTAATCTGTTTATTGTCAAAATAACCACAAAACTCCCAGCTACAGTAAACCGACTGCATAGATGCCTATAAAGGCATAAAATTAAGGTTTTACAAATTAATTATTTAATTAACTCTTTTCTGTCAGCTTCACTGTTCTCCTGGGTAAAGGTGAACTACTTGTTGAGAAGTGTCTGCTCTTTGATGGAGGTGACCTTGTTGCTCTGGATTGGCTGTGAAGGTAATTCCACCATGCCAAAAGTTCAAATGCTAAGAGGTCTCCAGTATGTTTTGGGTACATTTTTGACGCTTTGTTCACAGGTTTTCACAAGTATCTTTGGCTTACTGAGCAGGCAGGTGGCTCTTCCTGTGGAGCAGATGCAGCTCACTGAGCAGTTTAGTCATGAATAAATGTGTGGCTGGAGAGGTGTGCTCCGGGTCACTCCTCAGTGCCCCCCTGAGCTGCTGTCTCCTGCCCCCCTGCCCCTGCCAGTCACCTCGCCCCCATCCATCAGACAGCCTTTCAAGTTGAGAGCGGTCTCTGGTTGGCGGAGGGTGGCGGGGTCAGGCTCCAGCAGCGATCAACCAGCCGTTGCTGCCCAAAGAAGGAGTTGCAGCCTTCAGAGGGTTTTAATCTTGTGTTTTTGGCTCAGGGGCTGCTGGGGATGCTGTGTAGAGGAGAGTTCCTGACTGGAGAGCCACAATCAGGAGAGGGGTTTAAAAGGCTGCAGTGGAGTTTAACTTGAGTCCCGGCCAATCTTGATAAGTCACACAGGATTGAGGGTTGCACACCAGCACTTGCTTGCGGGAAATGTGTTCCTGAAAACTGTTACTCTCTGGGCAAACTGATAGTTTATCATTTAACAGAACAACGCAGTATTTCGAGGTACTGAGGTCAGATTTGATCTTTTTTATCTAACCTATTTTACTGGTAATGCTAATCTTTATTTTTTCTTGCAGGCACTGACTAGACTGCTCCATCCGCCCAGAGCTGGCCTGGCTGTAGGGTGCTATATTGTCCAATGAACTCATGGTGCGGACAGAAAAAACACTGGCCCAGTGTTATTCTTACACTGATTATTCTGTTACGTCTAGAAAATGTACCATTTGCCACTTAAGCTCTCTCTTTAATATGTCCCCACAAGGTGGAGCACTGGCTGATCATTCTAATAGACAATTTGTTGGAGGTTTTTAGATCACCACACAATCAACCATAGGGAGAACTGGCCCTGAAAGTTCTTATCTCTTTCTGTATTTTATTGAATATTGTTTCATTTGCACAGCAGCCAAGAGAAAAACAGAAACAGTACATGGTGTGAGACAAAATACAAAAATGTGGACTATGCATACATAAGTATATACATAAGATGTATGTATATATATGCATACACTGGCTTTAATACAAAACTAAAAGTGAGGAAATAGGCATGAACCCTCAAATAACATGCATGTATTTGCTGCATGTACAGTCTGAGTAATCATGGTATATTTTAAGATGATAAATCTCAGTATAGATAGAGAGCAGGTAGCAGGGGCGGTGCTTAGATCAAACCTAGGGGGGTTCGGGTGTGTGCTCTCTCTGAGATTTTTTTTCCATTACTGGCAGCTATATGCACTATTTTTCAAGCCAGATGAGATACTAAAATCCCTACATTTTGTACATCATTTGTAAAAAAAAAAAAAAAAACAAAACATGATTTCACATGATTGTTCTTTTTAACAGGATTATTATTCAAAATCTAAACCTGAACACATGCTATATTTATAGAGCCTCGCCTAGAACAGCCTGGTCAGTCAGTTTACTCAGTGATAGAAAAGGTCTCCCTTATTTTGTATCTAATTGTTCTCCAACTGTCTTCATCATTCTGAAACCAGAACTCTACAAATGCTGAGGATCACTCATTTTAACTCTTGCCACCTAAAAAGATATTGTTTGATGATATTATTTTTAAGTTAGATAAATAACATAGGTCGAGTTGGAATTTGGTGTAAACAGCATTACTAATCTTGAAACCTAATTTTGTTCATCTATGTTGGAAAAGAGTTCACAGAATGAAGCTTAAGTTTACAAATCTGCTACATGAATTTATACCACAATACTGTAATAGTACTGTAATATGTCCCCAGTAATAGAACTTTAGCTCTGGGCCAGAAAGACTGTGGGGAAATGACACAAAGTTCCTTTACTTTACTTTCTTCCTATTTTTCTTTTCTGTCTGAAATCATATTTTTATTTTATTTATTTATTTATTATCATTATTATTATTTGTAATTGTCATTATATTACTCTACAGCATATCATCATTAGTCCAACTGCCTATGGACTTGAGGCTACTTATATTTTTCAGTGTATTTATTTTTAATATTACTACTCATACATGTACATACATATTGTGTTATTGTGACTTATTATTGTTTTATTGTTGTTTTTATTATTAACATTTTGAATTATTGTGCTTTTTGTACTTTTTAATTATGTATTGTTATTATTATTATTATTATTATTATTATTATTATTTTCTTACTTATTTATTCATATATTGGTACGCATGTCACAGAAGTAAGGATGGGGTTGGGATTGGGGCAGGAGAATGTAAAGGACACAGTTGATTGTAATATCCATGTTCCTGATATTGTCATCCAATTGTTTACCCTGCCCAAAACAATAAAACGATTATAAAAGTGAAAATAAGATTCAGGGCTTTTGAGAAAACAGTCCCAGAATAACCTCAACAAATACAATGGAATAACATTACATTTCTCCATGTATGTTAACAATTCTGATAATTATGTTTTTCCATACTGTAGTTTTGCATTGGTCTGTCTCTATACACGACATCTGTTTCCTATCTGTTCTGGAAGAGGGATCCCTCCTCTGTTGCTTTTCCTGATGTTTGTTCCATGTTATCCCTGTTAAAGGGATAAAGACTTTTTTCCTATTGTGGGTCTAAGGAAAGAGAGAGTTGTACAAACTGTAAAGACCCTTGAGACAGACTTATGATATATGATAAAAGGGCTGTATAAAGAAAGAAAGATAGACAAATCTTTCACTGACAGCAGTTTATAATGAGAAACCGTTGTATTCCATGGTAGTTTCTTTACTATCAATGGATTTTTATACCAGTTGGCAAAAACCATTGCAGTCATCAGATATTTGGGGTCTATTCATCTATATAATCAGCCCTCTAATACTTTATAGAATTTTAAATATTAGTTACGGACACTTGACCACAAACAGGACACACACTAAGAGTCATTTTCTGTTGCTAGTTTCCTGGAAGGGAGGCAGCTGGTTCTGAAAACCACAGTGCACCATGGGAATTAATGTTGACCTCAAATACGTAAACAGATTAGTAAACATGGCTCTAACAGGTTGTGTTAAGTACAACATTTTTTTCAACAAGATATTTCCACATGTGCTCTGCCAGACTTCTGATGAGACAATCAGTCAGTTCAGGTTAGGAGATCATGGTGTTGTGGTTACAACAATAACCATGTGGTAAAGTTGAGGCAACAATCATGGTCATCTTTTTTAAAAAAGCAACGTGAACTGTTGGTTGGTAACGGGAAGGGAACTGTGGTTCAAAAGAAGTTTGCACCCCACCACCCCACAATTTCTTGTTAGTCATTACCAATGATAGGGTAAGAAACCTCACACACAGTTTGAGAACCACTGTTCTAAGTTATACGGAAAGCAATGATTCTTATTTTCAGGTAATTATACCATAACACGAAATATGCAAATAAAGAATAAATATTAATATGGTAAATTTTACAGAACAATGCAACCTTAGACAAGATAATGGAAGCCAAGATTCTGGCATCAAAACAGCACCAACAGCAATGTTTTTGCCCTGCAACCGCCTGACAGATTGTTCTGGCCATGTAACTACAGTGAGTACATCAACAACCAACTCAAAATGTGTTATTTATTTTTTTCCTTGTAATATTATTACTTTACTTATTACTCCCTGCCAACAGTAATTCATTACACTAATAGTTATATTACTGTTTTGCTATTCCCCACAAAATTGGAAATTTCGGTTTCTCCCCAAAATGTAGACACACAATGATTAAAATGCAGTTTGTTGTTTGGGGTGACTATAATATTATTACTGAAATGTATTAGTAATTAGCTGCAGAAAGTAGGTTGCTCATGTTTGCTTATGGATACACTGCTATTATGTCTAAAAAGTTATGGGAGTGGCTAATAAGTTAAATGTGTATCATCACATGCTTACTGGCTGTCCGCATTTTGTAGACTATACTGTTAAAATATGTCAAATATGCGTTTAGACCTGATTGGCACAGCCTGAGCGATCGTTTGATGGAGGAGGGAATATGACACCGGAGGCTTTAAACACACACACACACACACACACACACACACAGGTACAGACACACATCTGGACGTGTAGCTACAGTAGGCCCACACCTGTCCCGCGGCTGGACGCACAGCACGGCAGCTCTCCGGGCTCATCAGCAGCTCCTCTGACAGCAGGCAGCTCAGTCCCGCCGGATCAGCTCTGCGGTCAGTGCTGTCACTCTCTGACAGTGTCTCCAGCCATGAGGAGCGCCGGGATCAGGACTGCGCCACCATGCCACAGGATATAACCGAGGAAGCGACGCAGAGCCCCACAAAGAACATCCGAGAGTGTGTGGATTATTACAGCAGGACGACAGCTCTGTGCGCTCGACACTCACGTCCATGATCGGCAGGGCGAGCAAACTCGGTAAAGGTAGGACCACACTGCCAGAGCTCTGACCTGAGATCAGCCTCAACGTTTCTGAATCCCTCAGTGTGAGAAACAATACTTTAAAGGCCGGAGCTCCCTTAACAGACATGGCAAGTTGAAAATGTTTGTGTTGGATAGAAAGAAAATCAGATATAGAGAATGTTAAGACAGAGAGACATTTTACTGATGTTGAGTTGCAGCTTCACATACTGTATGTCCAACTGATAATCTCTCTGACCTCCTCACCAGTGACTGCTATAGGCAGGGCAGGTTGATTTTAATACCACGTTTCAACAACAAGGCAATTCAAAGTGCCATCAGGACAAAATGTAAAAGCAATATAAAGCTAAATGCGTAAAATAGACAGGAGTTACAAAGAGTTAAATAGAGAATAAAAATGGGATATAGATTGAGAGACAGGAGTTAGTAAGGGATGTAGGCTTGTAACTGGATTCAAATCACCAGCTTATTTCATTCAATAAATATCTTGCAGTTGAAGGTGGAGAGTAGGAAAAAGTTTTATTTTGGATTATATTTGCTTAAAGTACCAAAAGTGCAGAATGGCCCAAAGTGCAAAGTAACTAAAGCTATCTAATAAATGTAGTGGAGTGGAAATATAAAGTAGTATAAAATGGAAATGCTTAAGAAAAAAAAACTATAAATTGTACTTGCGTACAGTACTCGAGTAAATGTACTCAGTTACACTATAACACTGATTATTATACATTTTGACCCTCATGTTTTAATTTTCATTGCAAATGTACATCGGCTCCTAATATCGGTTATTGGTTTCCTTGATTACTAATAATCGGTATCTGTATTTGCCCTGAAAAATTAATATCGGTCCATCCCTAGAGGATATAGTGATATCTCTACAGCCACATTGGCAATTCAATTTTATTATTATTATTATTATTATTTATTATTATTATTATTATTTCTATATTTTATATAGCACCAAATCATAACAGAAGTTTACTAAGGGCACTTTTCATACAGAGCAGGTCGCGACTGTACTGCTTATAATGAAAACTGACACAAAATCATCATCAATTTTAAAATGAAGTCAGTGAAATGACATAAGCCGATCTCCTCCAGAGACCTGATGTATTAACCTCTACAGCTCCCACCCTACCATACAAGGAAGAAAACATTGTTCTTTTTTACCCTTTAATCTCTGTAATAGCAGCTTTGTCTTATTGTCATTACATACATTCTTCCATTTTGTAAAACACATTTCTGGTGTTGGGAGAGCAGATTCTGATGAAATGGAAGTTGAGGATCAGTTTGGGACAACACTACAGAGACATTTGTTGGACGGAGCTTCACTTGCTTCCCCATCCAAGTGTCTATTTTAGGTACATCGCTGTAATGTGTTAAGGCAATGTTTTACAGCTCTCTGTGTTGTTCACAGAACCAGGATCTGCTTGCCAAGAATATTACATGTGGGAGGAATTTGACTTGAGATGCTTTCTCTTGATACGCTTTTATTTGGACAGTATCATACAGGTTACAAAAGGGACACACACTGCATGTTGTATCATTTACTTTAATATCAATAATCGTTAAACTGCATTCATTTATATTTTAACGTTGATTCTAAAGACTTTTCTCTCATCTCTTTCAGTTCATTGGTTTGGTTTTATAGAGCCCTGGTTCCCAACCTTTTTTCTGAAGGACCCCTTTTCTATGTGTAAACTAACGACCCCTGACATATTTTATGGACATTGCAATGTATAACAGTAACAGTGAGAACAACTGATCAACTGTACATTAAATCCGAACAGGGAACACAATTACTGCAGGAAGTGTAAAACCAGAGATGTGGATGAATTTTGAGCAGATTTTACCCTGTGAATATTGAGCAGAAATTAGTTTTTCTGATATTTTTAGGAACTTTTTTATACATTTCTGTTTGTATTATGTATTTTTTAACAATCATACATACTTAATAGTCTTCCTTTTTGAGAGATTCAGTCTTTTCATTCATTGTTCGTCTAGTTCTTTGGTTGTTTGAGCTTTTCTAACGCAGGACAAGGCTGTTTATCAGAGAATGAATGCTCTGTGAATATAGACTGTGTTCATGTCTTCAAAGTTTATCATAAATAATAATCTAAACTTTAGAAATAACAATTTAATTTTGTTTCTCACAGAAATGAACAAATTGCTGACATATAAGCCAATGGTGAATATTTTTTATGTTTTCTTGAGTAAAGGTTTTACTAAAATAAGAATTAATACAATATCATAAAACAAAATATTGCAGTACTCAAATTTAATTCAATTCAATTCAATTTTATTTGTATAGCGCCAATTCATAACAGAAGTTATCTCAGGACACTTTTCAAATAGAGCAGGTCTAGACCGAACTCCTTATAACATTTATATAAATCTATAGATATTTCCATACACCCCTAAAGAAAGGGCCATATATTTTGTTGGTGGAGACCAAATCAGCACTAAAAAGCCAGTGAACTTGTCAGGTGGCCAGAGAGACTAATAATTTGTTGCCATAAATGTAAATAATGCAGCTCTGCTCCCACCTGTGCACAATGAACTCTGCTTGCCACCAAAATACCACACAGACAGGCTAAGAGAAATTCAAGGTTGGGAAAATACCAAACTGTTCACTGCCAAAATAATAGAACCCCACAGGTTTCTGTCAGGTTTACTGAACTAAGTGGTCAGACTAACTGCTGAATAAGTCAGTAAAATCTGGATATTTTCCATTCCATATCTGTTGGAAGACTGCTAAATTGCTTTGCAGTGCAACCAGAGAAGGGCGCCGTTGCTCCAAAGCAAAGACATGAGTCAAAGGCCAATGTATGGTAAAGGTATGAGTCAAATGAACAGGGTTTATAGAAAATGCGGTCTTAATTTGGAAAAACACCTAAATTAACAATACACCTATTACTGCTGTGAGACAGCTGCTGATCATCATACCAAGTTCTCAGTTAATTTGAAATTGTGTTTGAAAATACAATACAAGACCATTGGTCGAAATATACAATTCAAATGTTTAAATGTTGTAAAATGTTGGCGTTCTCCCGAGCAGCATCTCTGGATCATATAGTTTCTGTACAGGAACAGGAATACAGGAAGCATGTCTAGTAATAATACAATTTCAGTATAACATCTTACCCCACTGTGTCGCAAATATAGAAGAAAATCTGCTGTTTCTACAACCCCCCCTCAAAAAGCAGGGCAGTGATTGCAAGGTGGCATTAGGAAGAGTTATGGGCTGCAAGCAGCTGCTGGCAGGATAGCAGTGGCCTGCTTTATTGCAAAATGTGCTAATGATCAACAAAGTTTGGCAGGCATTGAAACACTTCCCCCTGTGTGTCCAAGTCAGAGCTGCTGCTGTGTCTATAAAGGGCCCATTAATACTACATCTATCAGACAGTGTTAATTTATGCAACTGGCTGCTTTAAAATGAGACCTAGAAAAGATAGAGGGGTCAACAGCAGCAAATGTGAGCATTCATGAATCTTTTATCCTTTATTGTTTTAAGCTTAAACAGATAGAATGATCAATCCTGAAGGTTTAAGTAGAAAAAGAAAATAAACTTAATTAATCCCAATATGTGGAAGACTTATCCAGAGCCTGTGCATGATGTCGCCTTAATGTAAAGTCTATTGGAAAGGCTTATAGGAAGAGAGACAGCCTTTGGCATAGCAAATTGGAATGAATGGGCAGCATCTTGTAGTTCATGACCTCTCTGTGTCTACACAGCCCACATAATGAAATAATGAAAGCAGCATGTTAGCAGGACTTCAGCAGTACTGTATATGTTTTTCAAGCTGGGGTCTGACGACCAACGGGGTCCTTGAGTTGGTTGTAGGGAGTCCCCAGTAAAATTTCAATTCAATTAAATTTTATTTAATTCATAACATAAGTTATCTCAGGACACTTTTCAAATAAAGCAGGTCTAGACCGAACTCTTTATAACATTATTTACAGTGACCCTACAGTTTACACCATGAGCAAGCACTGGCGGCAAGGAGAAATTTCCTTTTAAGAGGCAGAAGCCTCGGACAGACCCCGGCTCTAGGTGGGTGGTCGTCTGCCTCGACCAGTTGGGGTGAGAGAGAGAGAGAGAGAGACAGACACAGAGACAGAGACAGAGAGAGACAAAGAGAAACAGAAAGAGAGAGAGACAAAGGTGCACAGCAACAACAGTAGCAACGACTACACTAATAGTAGTGACTGATGATGATGATGATGATGATAATGAACATGAAGAAGATGATGACGACAACGACAACAACGATGGGGGACAATGAGCAGTGATTATAGTAATAATAGCATCTGTAGTAATAATAATAGTAATAATAATAATAATAATAATAATATCAGTGAAATTTGCAATGGCAGTCAAATGGCAGGAGGCACCACCAGGATCCATGAGAACCTGGAAGAAGTGAAGTTAGTAACATGCATTAATGGGGCATGAATGTGTGCAGAAAGAGAGAAAGAGGAAGAGAGGAGCTCAGTGCATCATGGGAAATCCCCCGATAGTCTAGGCAGCATAACTAAGGGATGATTCAGGACTCACCTGATCCAGCCCTAACTATAAGCTTTATCAAAGAGGAACGTCTTAAGCCTACTCTTGAATGTGGAGAGGGTGTCTGCCTCCCGAACCAAAACTGGAAGCTGGTTCCACAGGAGAGGAGCTTGGTAACTGAAGGCTCTGGTTCCGGTTCTACTTTTAGAGGCTATAGGAACCACAAGTAGCCCTGCATTCAGAGAGCGCAGTATTCTAGAGGGGTAATAGGGTGCTATGAGCTCTTTAAGATATAAAGGGGCCTGACCATGAAGAGCTTTATAGGTGAGGAGGAGGATTTTAAATTCTATTCTAAATTTTACAGGGAGCCAGTGCAGAGAAGCTAGTACAGGAGAGATATGATCTCTTTTCCTAGTTCCTGTCAGTACTCGTGCTGCAGCGTTCTGAATTATTGTAGCGTATTAATGGACTTATTGGGGCAGCCTGATAATAAGGAATT